CCTATTCCACACAGTCCATTGCCACTACAATATGCTCTGTTCACACAGCACACAATTAAGCATTTCAGTCGTTACTGTCCCAAAAAGTTGGTGCTATTGCTTGTACCCTGTCCAGTAAAAAAAAAAAAGCCTTCATCCCCCTCCTCCCCCTGTAAGTGCTTCCACCTGCCTGAAAAGTTCATGGCTTGAACACATCCTATAAACTTTATCTCAAGATTCCCCAGAGGTAGAGAGCAGTACAGAGGAAGCACTTTAGGAGGATTAAAAAAAAAGAGGAACCTTGACTAAAGGACTACTGCTGCGACCCACCTCTCCTCTCCGGCCAACCCCCCCACCCTGCTCTCCTTTCTGTCCCCCTCCCTCATTCCTCCCTCTCTCCTCTCCTCCTCTCCTCCTCTGCCCTGCTCCCCTCTGGTCGACAGGCCCAGGGCAGACAGCAAGGGGATGGCAGGGTTCCTTTAGCTCACCTGCGATGGCCGTGGTGGTGCTTGTTGTGGGTTAGCTCAGCCCTCTCCCTCTCACTGTTGTGCAGCTTAAAACCCCGTATGCGCTAACCAAGCAGCAGCAGATCAGCTCAATTCCCTTCCTGGTTTCTGGAGGGCAAAGAGGTCCCTCCCTTTCTCTCTCTCTCTCACTCTCTCTCCCTCTGTCTTAAAGAAACAGCATTCCACCTCCGTCTCATCTCCTTCTTCTCTCTCTGAGGCAAAAGTAAAGTGGAAATTTCTGTGTTGAAAAGTGGACAGTTGTCAAAGTCATAAACTCAGCCAAAGATGACACGAATCATTAACCCATGCCTGCCCAATCTGTGCTTTTGCAGTGAATGCCAGTGTTTTCCTCTCTGGGCACTCAAATGTGTGGTTTAAGGTTAAACTGCGTTAGAACTTGTCTTTTCTCACCCGAGTCATCTCCCAGTGCTCCTTTCCTTTTCTATGTAAATTGAGTAGCACCCACCCATCCTTTTGCCTTAGGTCATGGTGTCCCACCCCAAATACAAGCCTTGGCACATTCCAGCACATACAGTAGGGGCTGCCAGCAACCCCCTTAGTACACTCTGGTTTGGCCCGGGCTCTGTACATAATACCTGCCAAGCTCCAACAGGTGAGGCAGCAAAGAAGACATTACTAAGTTGAAAAATGTTTTATCCATGGTTGGAAATGGCAAGTTCCCATGTGTAAATTTACAGCTCATGCACTTGATGTTGTGCCACTTTCCACCCGCCCACAGCACACCCCCTCAGTGAGTGCAAGCCAAACATTGTGCTGCAGAGTGGGCACAAGATGTATTTGATGATTCTGTTGCACCATACATAAACCATCCCAACACCCCTGATTGCACTTGTCATATTTCACATACACACATGAGAAAATGTACTTTGCACAGTGTTGCTGTCTGTAAACAACTGCGTTTTGGGTCCAGTCTTATGAGAGCCATGTACCTTGGTGCACTGCACAGATAACCATGAGGGGGAATCAAGGGGCTATTTGGTAGGGAGAGGCAATGGCACACCCTCTGCCTAGAGGGCACTGTTCAGAACTGTCTCTGCACAAGAATATAGGACCTAAAGCTTTCAAACTTCAAACGTGTGAAAAGCACAGAATTTGAATGTTTGGTGTCAATACTTACTGTAATGCTAAGTAAAGAAGATTCATATAGATAAATTCTAGCCTAAGTAAAATGAAAACAGTAGAACAAACACTTCCACACGAAATATTGACACCAAACGTTCAAATTCTGTGCTTTTCACACTTTTGAAGTCTGAAAGCTTTAAAGAATATAAAGAATATAACAAAATATAAAGAATATAGCAGCTGGTGATATAACACAACAAAAATTTTCTGGCACAGAAATGTTATTAATTATGCTCAATTTATATGATTTTTAATGACTGTTTATTCTCAGGAATATGCAGAGATATTTTCTGATGACATCTGCCATCTTCGTTTTTTCCTTTAAATCAGACAAAGAAAATATCAAACAGTTTAAGACTGGCATACATTGGGGGAGGTTAGTGTTGCTGAATGTTGTTTGGGCATAGAGGTTTTTTGCCAGACATCTTCTCTTTGTTGGTTTTCAAATCGTTGTCATTCATTTTTTTTGAGTGTAACTGAGTGAACAGAGAATACATATTAACTTGTCCATTATAGGCAATGATTGCAATTGTTTTCCTTTCTAACAACAAACAGTTTAGAGTGAAGGCAGCTATGGCTACAACATCCCAAAGAAGAAAATGTTGTAATGACCCAGATATATTTTGCTATATCTGTGGGAACTTCACTTTGAAGGGCCAAAGGCGCCACATAAATACCTTTGTCAAGAAGGTGTACCTGGAGACCAGGACAAAATATGACAAAACATCATTAATGATCCTCTTGTTCAGAGAAAAAAGATTTTCCGACCTCCACTGCACATAAAACCTGGTTTGATGAAACAATTTGTCAAAGCCCTGGATCACAGTGGAGACTACTTCCACCACACATGTTCAATCTTTCCTAGTCTGAGTGACGAGAAGAAAAAGGCAGGAATATTTGATGGACCTCAGATAAGAACACTCCTCAGAGATGCCCACTTTGTGACAATAATGAATACAGTGGAGGCTAGAGCTTGGAATGCCTTCTCTGATGCGTTAAAGAATTTCCTTGGGAACAGGAAAGCTGACAGCTACCAAGAGATTGTGAAGGAACTGCTCTTGAGTTTTCAATCACTTGAATGTAAAATGAGTATCATGTTGCACTACTTAGATTGTCACTTGAGCGAGTTTCCAGAGAATCTGGGTGATGTTAGGGAAGAACAAGGTGAATGCTTTCATCAAGACATTAAAGTAATGGAAGAACGTCACCAAGGCAGATGGGACTCCAATATGATGGCTGATTACTGTTGGAGCTTGATGAGGGATGTTCCAAACGCTGAGGATCATAGAATGTCAAAGAAGAGGAAGTTAATGCAGCTGTAGCTCGATCTAAACCAATAAACTTATTGATCTCTCTGAGCATGAAATTAACATTTTTCGCAAATATAGAATATCTTATATCTTGGAAACCTGATGTGTTGGACAAAAACTGATGGCACATTTGGATTCAGCACCACAACTAAAATTCATTCAAAAACCTTGTGCCAGAAAAATTATGCTAACCAGTGTAATAAGTAGATAAATAGTGCCTTTAGATTTTATGTACTATTTATCTACCTTATATTTCACCTTGTATTGCTTGGCATTCATTGTGGACAGCAGAGAAACACGTTTCCTTATTGTGCACATGACAATAAACACTTTAAGTCTTGAAAAATAGTTACACTAGTTGGATTCTACTATGTTGCACCCTAAATACCCACAGTCAAAATGAGTTATCATCTCAGCCCATGGCAGTCTGAAATGATGCCTGGCATTTTTTAGGGCAACACTGCTTTACAGTCCAATATTTGGTAAATAAAGATGATTTAAATTCTGATTCAATACAAACACCCCACATCCGACCTGTATTTGTGTAATTGCCTGAATGAAGGTATTGTTTAAATCGAGCCAAATAAGAAGACAGTTAGCAGTTAACAGATTGCTTTCCCTAATTATAATGTCTGAAGCAATTAGTAATGTTTCATTTAAAATGTGTCTGCGGCTGTAGAGCTGTGAGACATTTAACTGGGGCCAGTAACCACAGTTCATACATTACATCATAACCAGCTAGGATATTATACCAATTCTAAGAGTCATAGTTAGCCTACCCCGAATTAGGATTTAACTGTCTCACTGTACTGTGTCTGCAAAGCTCTAAATATTTTCCCCTTGTTTACCAGTAATAAGCAGTCTGTCTTGCAGCAGTCAGTGGCCGTCGCTTACAAATGATGAACTCAGGTGGCGCTAGAATAAAAAAAGAAAAACAAGAGCTTTTAAAGAATAGTGAAGTACGTTTTTAAAAGACCACTTACCATTTTAAAGTTAGAAATAGTCTTCATTCAACTCGTCATTCATCTCTCAAAATGTTCATTGACAACTTACTGAAAGTTAATTAAGGCTTCAGTTAGTTAAGCAATGATACTATGGACACTTGCATTTGAGGCACCTGCATACTGACGTCTAGAACCACGCCGATATGATTTTAATAGCTCTTTCATTTTAACACATCTGCCAGCCAATCAGAACTGACTATATCCGCGTTTATACCAGTGAAATACCGGTAAATATACATTGTACAGATTATACAGATCCGTACAGGTCTCCATTAAGTACTCTATTTTTATCTAATTTCCTAATAAATATTCCTTTGTCTGTTTTCAGTTTATTGCCTGTTTATAGAGTTTATTTTGCATTACTTATTGCTTGTTTATACTATTTATTTTGTTATACTACATAGCCTTACAGTATGTTGGTATACTGTTTACTTGGCCCTTGCATGGGGATATGTACATGCACATTGAGAGCCGCTGTACCAGAGTTAAATTCCTCTTGTTCAACACACCTGGCCAATAAAGCTGATTCTTCTGATTTATAGATTTACATTTTGCAGGGTCGATGGCTGGGGTGCGGGGAGTCAATTAACCAGGTTTCTATGTATGAAAGTGAGTCTCATTATTAAAATATCCAAAAAGAGATGACAATAAATTTACTCTACAAGGACACCCCAGAAAAAATGTCCGGATTCCAAAAGCAAAATGCTCCAATTATACACACTTTTCACATTTATTCTGTCAATTGTCTAAATATATTTTCTCAACAATGGATTTCTTGTCTAAATGTTCCCAAAGCCCTTAAAAAACAAACACATTCTCAATATTAAGGTCTTGGTGGGAAATAACTGATTCTTACTGCATCGTCCCAAATGTAGTCCAAAATAACCATTCAAGGTTACAAATACAGAAAGAATTCAGCAAAAGCACTCGTTACGTGTGGTTTAGGGCAAGGCCCCCGACAAAAAATAAATAAATATGACAGTGACCGTATTCTCAACCCTGACAATATCCATATTAATGTACCGTAATTATAAATGAACTGAAAATACTTTATGAAATGTGTATATAGTGGCACACCTTTCTAATAAATGTGCACTTTGTTTATTCGAGTCATGTATAACATTGGATATCAACAGCGATCACATGAATAACTTAAAAGTACATTCACAAATAGGTTTTATTTTAAAGTTTTTATACATTATAACCATATCCAACACATTTTATGTTATAACGACTTTTCTTCCCTTGTCTTTTACATAAATCACTTTTGTAAATTAAGACTGCAAAATAGTACTCCTGTAATTTTTGTTTATAGCTTTGTACACAAAAGTGAGGACGCATCCATTTTGCTCTGAACGGATGCACATTTTGGGGGGAAATAAGAAAGAACAGCCATAAGCAGAGAGAATACAAGAGCTCTAGCAAGACAGCAGGCTAGCAAGTAACACCACCACCACCACCACCACCATGTGACCTACAGTGACCCGGATTAAAATTTTGCAAACTCCATGTACTACTTGAACTGCCACTTGAAAAGGGCTTGTACGCTTACCATAATTAACTGGGTTAAATCACAAGGAAAAGCTTCTCAATAGTATTTCAACCCAGGTTTTTCCAAAAGCAGGCCTCTAGATTGGTTGTGTCCCAAAAGAATGCTTGGATCGCCACACATAGTAGTACAGTGAAAACAACCAAATATACTTCAGGGGAAAGTACAGACCGAGAAGAAGGGGGGGGTTAAATTACTCAAGATAATCATCCCCATCATGATCTTGGGACATGAAACACACATACAGCATCAGAAAGATAAACCATGCTATATCATCCCATGAATACATTTTGATTGTTTTCCTCAATTGAAAAGATTCTGGCATATATCAGGCCTCCACAGCATATGCCTCCTCCTGTGTGAAACAGTGAGGGATGTGAACTGAAATGAATGTTGAAGAAAACGTCAACATAAAGTGTGGATTACTGAATGGAAAAAAATAAGGACATTCAAAGTGCAAGGCTATACCGTTCATGTGTGTGCATACAAAAACTGATCAGTCATTGAGAAACTTTAGTAGTCATGAATACCCTCTTTGGTTTGTGACATTGTTCACAAAGTGATTGCTCTTTTACCAAAAAGTAATGACGACTCCTCAAGTCAATTTCCTTGCACTCTGCTCACCCATCTGATTATATTGGAGGCAACTGCAAGATGAATATAGCTGACAAAGAGATTTTCAATAAAATGCATTCACCTTCAATAAAACTAATTTAGAGAAGATGTGAATGCAAAACATCTGATTTCCCTAAGCAGGATATATCTCTAAAATTTACTACGATACAGTCCCACAAGCCATCAACTGCTGCCATAGAAAAGACAAACATAATACTCAACAATACAGAAGTTTGACAATCAATGTAAAGCTGACACACTGGCAGCCCCTTCAGTGCTTTACATCCTCTGTAGCAGTGTGAAAACGTGGACTTTGGCTACTCTTGACACTGGGTTGGTGAACCTGTGGTTGTACAGTACAGTAACTCAATGGGCCCTGCTGTTGGTGAAGAAACGGGGGGAACTCTTTTACTTAAGAGCAAGATGAAAAAGTGCCAACATGTGTGATGGCTTGCGTGTGTATGTACAGTAAAAGTATGTGTATGCAAGCAAGACCCAGAAGTGTGTCGAGGCAACGGGGCCCTGTTCACTCAGTGCTGCGGGTTGGAGTACTGGGCTGGTTGAGGCCCATGGTTTTGCACAACCAGCCTGCAAAGTCCACTTCCTCTACTTCTGATCGTTTGATGAAAGTGTGACTCTGAACGAAAACCAAAAAGGGAAACAGTTAATTGTGCTGCCAGTTTCAGTAACAAAGAAAACAATTAAGGCAGAAAACAAACTTCAGCCCAGTCTAACTGAAACAGGTACCTACCATTAGCATCTTCAGATCTGCCCTCTCAGCTGGGTTTTTGATCAAACTGCAGACACAAATAATGCCAACAAGATTACAGACATGTGCCCGGGCAACAAACTGTATAAAATACAGTCTAAAGTCTGAAGCTAGCAATAGCTAACTAACAAGTACAATGATCTGGTTAATACTAATGTGACAAAAGCACTAATATTACACAAAGGCTCAATTACTCCTAAATTAAAGCTATATTAATTCAATAAAAAAGTACAATCATGACCGTACTAGGCTGCTAATGTTACCAAAACAAACATGTTAGCTTTGATGCTAACATATCCAGAAGACAGAATGCCACATTCTAATCAAATTTGAGTCCTTTGACTTCTTTTAGTTCTCTGCCTCAAAAAGCCAAACCAATGTTAACACTGATCCCTGCTCTCTCTGACAAAAGAACATGGCCTCTTCAGTCTGCAGCCACAGTCTGAAGTGTAGCTGCACAGAACTCCTTCATGGCTGGTGATGAACCATGTCACGTTTCAAAAAAACCCTCCGTTTGGGAGACAACCGCTCTACCCACTGAACGACAGTAAATGTTTCTGTGGCTAAAACATATCACACAAATCATTAATCCAAGCAGAGTATTTTTTAGATGAGATCTAATTTAGATTGTATTTTTACAAGCTACCTCCGCGCTACATCAGTTTCTGCTACCACCTTGAGCACAAAAACAAAAGCCTTATGTTCATGTCACTTCACAACATTAATGACAAAGTGGAGAAATCACAGCACTTGGGATTTTGAAGTGTTCTGCACAATTAATTGTGATGATTCTTTTTTTTTTTGTTCAAAAGTAAGATAAAAGCAATGCACTTTTATTTGGTAGCTCAGTCTAAACAGGTCATTGCTGGGGATGGGGATCATTAGGATTTTATCGATACCAGTACTGCTCATTGATAGTGTTATTGATATTACTCACCATAACTTGGTGCAAAAAAATAAATAAAATAAAATAAAAAAATACAGATGTGATATGAAAGGATTAAATTCTTTTAATCATTACAATTTTGCTTTAATAATCTGATATTTTAATAATCTGATATTTTAATGGTACTCTTATGGGTTCTTTTTATTTTTAGGAGGAAAATACAATTTTAAGAATTTTAGAATTAACATTACCACAGTGTGATAACTGAATTATAAAAAAGTCTAATCCAGGACTTTCACAGTATTTTTACTATGTGGTGTTTTGCCACCTACCCTCAGATCACTAAATCTGGCCCAGCTCTGAACCTCAAACACCTCACTCTGTTATCAGAGAACCAGGATTACATTAAGTAACCCGACGTTTCTGAACGTCAGTTCAGACGACGCCCTGAGAATTTGAATTTATGAATGCCATAACAGCCTGCTGGCAAATATTTACTTTTAATCAATAGTGCATGTTCATATATGTGTGCGTGCTCCAGGGTGTGAACATACATAACATTTAAGGACAACAAGAGATGAACTGCAAGCTAGGCAGATGAAAACTGTGTATTTCTCCACCTGTATGTGATAGACCTTCCCTAGAGGTTTCCACAAATTATTCATTTGCTCACCCTTACATGGGAAACACTTGTTGCAACAAGCACTGTCAATATCAACTGTAGTGAAATGCAACCACACATACTTTAGTTAAATCTGCTGTGTGTGTGTGTGTGCTGCAGGCTGTTGCAAGGTGTGAGACAGAGCTCTCTCTGTCCCTCAGGCTCTGAGACACAGATCTATATCTTCTGGATTCAGAAAAGCAAAAAAGTGGCATAGATGAATGTATCAGAAACAGAGTTGGTGAGATAAAATGTGTAAGCAACAATAAATAGGAAATCTATTTTCTTAACTTCTTCAGTACCAACAGTGGAACTGTTACTGTCAGGGCTTATTGATACTATGGTATTTAATAATGTAGCACTGGTCCCCATTTAATGCCAGGCTTTGATACACATCCCTAGTCACTGCCAGTGCTCACCATTTTGTCACGAAGTCCTGAAAGTCATTTGTGAAGACGCCATGCGGTAGTTTGGGAGGTGGCTGAGGAGAAAACAAGATGCAAAAATGAAGGGAAAAGGGTACAGCACTATGTACTTGTGTGTATGTTTAACATAACATCAATAAACAATCAGCAATTTCTCAAACCTCATTCACAATGTAGTCCAAAAGTTCAAAGATGGCCATGGCAGGTCTACTGTCCATCCCATGTCCTACGAAGAAGTATCATATCATAAGACACAATTACAATTTATTTACATCAAATATTAAACTATCCTATCCTTATTACTAAATTATATCTCAAAGCTTGTAAAAAAAAAAAAAAATAAATAAAAAAGCCTGTGACTGCTAAGACTGAACAAGCCTGCATGGATCTTTTGTTAATGTCATACACAATCATCTGTGTGTTTGTGTATGCTTTTGCGTTTCGTACCGCTTACAGGCCTGCCTGGCGGTCTGGGCCTCTGCATGCTGGTGTGCGACTCTCCCTCACCCCCGTCCATAACGGCCCGTCCAAAGATGGCCTCTAGCTCTTTGGCGTCTGGAGGGGGGATGGGGTAGCGGCCAATCGCCAGCTCCACCAGAGACAGACCCATGCTCCACACGTCAGACTGAACAGAGTAGTGAGTGCCCTGCAGTCTCTCCGGCTGTTGAGAAACACAAACAACGTCAGGAAGCGCAGGTAGAGCCAAGATGGTAGGCGGGAGAGAGGGTTGGGCAAAGAAGACAGGAAGTGGAGGAGAAGATAATGGAAGGGGAGAGTGAGAAAGGGGGTGTTATGGGAAGGAGAAGTGGGGTGCGGTTAAAGGAAAAAGTACAGAGGATGATGGGGTTTGGCAGGATGTAAAAGAGCTGCTTTAGAGTGTTTAAGTTTTAGGACGGTGAGCAAAGACAGGTGTTCATGAGTTGGGAAATATGATGAAAGGGTGCTTTGTGGGTACAGGAACTGGATGGGACAGAAAAATCAGCTATTGGCACTACAGCCACCAGGTGTCTAAGAGTGAGGGGAGGACGAGAAACAGCAAGCACAGTTGCCGAATTCTTTGCCAAAGATCCCTTTCCTGGGCACAGCCCTTGGTTCTTGGCAGGGGAGAGAGGGAGGGCCAGAGGAAAGGAAGACTAAAGGTGGGGCCAGGGAACAAGAGCAATGTGAGAAAAGACGAGAAGGAAAGTAAGGTTAGGGCCAGAGGAAAAAGGGGTGGGGGTGGAGTGATGGAGCTGACTCACTGACATGTAGGAGCGCGTTCCAACAAAGGAGTTGGCCATGGAATCTATGAGCTGGCCACTGACACCGAAGTCACACAGCTTGATCTCCCCACGAGAGTTGACCAGGATGTTAGAGGGCTTGACATCTGTGTGGCCGGTAGAGATGGACAAACAAATGACATTAAGTTATCAGTGAGGCTCTTCCTCATGCTGAATCTCATCTGCCATCTATACTTAACACCTCACTACTAACCCACTGTATCACAATTGTTTTAGTCATCAGGATGAGAAGGGGCTTCTTACAATAACTGCTCCCCAAAAATTAAACGCCGTCACACTGATGTGTTTATATATATCTGTATAGATGACAATACGTGTATGAAAGTATATGTAAGGATTTAGTGCATGCAAGAGCATGATTGGACATGAACATGTCCACCATATGCACTGCATGTATGAATGTGAGACTAACGTGCAGACTTTGAAAACAAATTTTCTTCCTAGGATAGTAAAAACCGTTTCTGATAAGACAGTAAATATCGCTTGAAGAAAAAAAAAATCAAATATTGAAACGCAGAATCAGTTACAGAATTATTTTGCCCAGGACAGTCTGCCATGAGGGCTGAGGGTGGCATGCTCTGCAGCCCCCATATATGTCTGTGATGCTGTTTTCATCGAGCAAGGGAGAAAATAGCAACATCTCTTGCTGAGCTCCTGTTATAAACAAGCTGGTCCTCCACATTTCCCGCTCATCACTTAAAAGCAACCTGCAAAATAATGGGGTAAGACTGATCCCTGCAATCTGTCCTCGTTGGTGTGTGAGACCCCCTCCCACAGACCAAGGATGTGGGGAGGGACTGCAAAAGAGGTGGCATGAAACAGCAGGAGGACGATGGAGGGAGACACGGAAGGAGGGGTCAACTGGGTGCGGCTGCTGTATAATCACATCTGAGAGGCTGTAATTGCCACTGGTGCTCACAGACATCTCTGTCCTAGAGTACCACCAACCCCAGAGCACTGCAAGGACTCACTGTGCTGCAGTGTGCAGGTCCTTCAACAGCACAACTGTGGTTCCTCACTGGTGTGCTGTGGAAAACATGCCTACCTTAGACTGCTAAGAAAATGCCTTTTACCAAGTCTTTTTCTGCTTCATGCTAGAAATTTTTAGTGATCAAAAACTCATGATACTTCCATATAAAGCCTGCCTAGTGGTGAGCGTGCCAAGTCTTTTTAGAAGTTGATGCAGTGCACATGGAGGAAAAAGAATGAAGAAAATTCATAAAACCTAAATGAAACACTACAGGGACAACTGAAATATGTTGAGTTAATGTGGTGCATTTACCAACATAAAAGTCCATAGACATTAGGAAATAGCAGCAAGGATAATAACAGTGGAAAATTAAAGGATAATTCTCCATTTTTGTTATCTGACAGTTCAGACTGTAAACATTTGTTTTTTTAATCTCTGCCTCACCATCATCTGTAAATTTCAGCCCCTAGTAAAACTAAAGAAATGGAAAGCATAACACCAATCCATAAAAAAAAAAAAAAAATCTAGATTGTATTATTGGTAAATAATATCAACTTTCCAGTAATCTGATCGAGTTGCACTAATGGGATACCCATACTGCATTCCTATGCATTTTATATCCATTTCCAGACCAAAACACATCAGATGTATTTCAGACTTTCTTTACCGACACCGTGGCCAAGAAATTGTCAAATAAAGTATGTCAAGAAGTAGCTGTAAGAAACATGACATGTTGTAGTTAAACACTGGTTAACTGTTGCAGTAAGGTCAGTAACTACAGTGCACCCATTATCATTATTTTGTTCTTACCTGTAAATAGCCGTAGCTTGAGAACTGAACTGCTCAAAGTAACAAATGTGTCATATGTCAAACCAATTTTCTTGCATTAGATCAACCTGTTTTCTACACTAGTCATGAGACTATAGTTCAAGTACAACTCTCAGCATGTTATGAAATCAAATATAGAGCATATCTGTCAAAACTTTTCCTCATCGAAGTCATGGATCATCTGAAGATGAAAGCCCCTTGGGATTTGTTATTTGTTCTTACTCTTCAATCTTCATGAAAGCACTTAACAGGTATTACCCCAATGAATAAACTAAAGAGCAACTGTGTGATAAACACCGCATTAAACAAAATACTTGAGAAAAAATTCTGTGATGTACAAATTATTCATAGTGATACCACAACACAACTCTCCCCTTAATGTCCACATACAGCCTGATACTCGTCAGCTTAACAAAGTCAGTCTGTTAGTCAATCACTGTCATGACGCTTCTGGCAGCTGCATAACCAGCAGCTGTTGTATTGCTCGATTTTGAAAATGTGGCACAATATATTTTGAGAGCAAAGTGATTTATTGTAATTAGAGAACACCCTTACCTCTGTGCATGATCTGGTGCTTCTCACGTAGATAGGCTAAGCCCCTCAATACCTGTGAACAAGACAAGCAAACATCTATTATACACAAGACCACACAAATCTCACACAATAGTGTATAGATACTTGTATAAAAATAAGCTTTCCTCTGTGTAGATATTAATTTAAAAGCATTATTTTACCAATTCATTTTTTTATACTTGGTTATTTGAGCTTGATGCAAGAGAAAAGTTAAGTAAAGCACATTAGGTCCTGTTGTTGGTGACTCATGCATGACTGGACAACACACAGCTACTTAGGCAACACCACAACAGACACACCCACACCCACAATGGAAGAGCAGTGTATATATAAAAACATGTACAGTACCAAGCTGCAAATCTTTATATAACAGCCAAAGTCAAAGAGCAAAAAAATGTAAAATTATAAAACATATCTGATAAGCTGCTCTCTGGTTTTAAAAAAATGTAAACAATCAGACAAAAAAGGCAGAAACTATAGATTTAAAACAGTAACAGAATCCACATACAGCTATGCTAACTTTTCCCAGAATTTCTTCTGGGATTCTTCTGGCTTCCTTCAGGACCTGGTCCAAGGAGCCACCGTCCTGTAGAGACAAGTTGCACAATTAAAATCTGGCATACTGTTTAAAAACAACAACACTGCATACATTTCTTTGGAAACAAATAGTTTGCAGATGCTGTGGGTAACTGTGGCTCAGGAGGTAGAGCGGGTCGTTTCCTAACCGGAGGATTAGTCGTTTGATTCCAGGCTTGTCCAGTCAACATGTCGAAGTGTCCCTGAGCAAGACACTGAACTTGGAGTTACTCCAGGTGATAACACCGGTGTGTTAATGTGTGAGCGTTTGTGAGTGCAAATGGGTGAATGGCCAAGTAGAGTAAAAGCGCTTTGAGTGTGCTGTAAACCAAAGAAAGGCGCTATATAAGTATAAGACCATTTACCATGTATAAAAATAGTTAAAGTACAAGGGAAAGTATGAATATCCAACCATATTAATTCACTGTCCAGGATCTGATGGTTTTGTCTCTCACCATGTGCTCCATACAGATGCTGATCTCCCCATCGCTGTAAAAGGCCCCATAGAAGCCCACAATGTAGGGGGAGTTGCATTCATGCAGCACCTGCAGCTCTCTGATAATCTGGTTCCTGATGGCAGGCTTGATTTCTAAGTGAATCAACTGGGGAAGGAAAAGATGAAACCGTGAACTGCTGTTCATGGTTACACATGCAACAGATTAACATACAGCATTCGCTGACCTCCTGCATAGATCAGGTGGAGTGTGTTCACAAACAAAATGCTTTATTCATATTCATTGGTAAAACAGTGGCAACCACAATGTCTTATTTCCAAATTGAGTCCCAGTGGGCCCTTTTCACGCGATGTCACACAATGGCCATTGCTCTTCCAATGGGTGTATCCTCGTTTCCACCGGTCAGCGTAATCATCGAGTTCATACAGTATATAGCACATGCCACACACATTCATGGATAATGTTTAGCAGATTGTGGATATTTATTACTGGATGCTACCAATTTGAGTTTGAAGGTTGCTAAGGGCTAACTTTCTAATTTATACTAACACTAGTTTGGTTTATGGGGATAAACTATGTAGCAAATAACATGCTAGCATCCTTTTAGCAATGTTAACATTTCATATAGCAGAGTATAAAGAATGTTCCTGTGAATAACGTACCAGATGAAGCCTTTGTAAACTGAACATTAGGCTTAAAGGTGTTTTACGTGTGCGATCAGTGAACTGATAACATCGGTGGTGTTGCTCTGCCCTTTTTTTAACATACTGGTATAATTTACAGGCTGAGATTTTGAATAGACATTAGTTCTCTGTGGCTCCTGCACACTAACTGCTAATGTCACTTGCTAGCCACCAGCTGCGGTAGTAACAAAAAATAAACTGATAATATCGTGAATGAATCTGATTTACAATGCCATAAATATTATTCTAGTGGGTGCTGGCGTTGTCTTTATTACAATCTCAGGGAGATTTGTCCCAGTGCAGCACCGAACTGGAAACAATGATACACCACAGTGATGACATCACTGTAAAAAGGTATGACCAAATGGTATAATCAAAACAGGGGGGACAACACAACAGGTTAACCAACAAAATACATATCAGTGTTAAGGTATGTTAGGCTGAACACTGTGAAATATATATCCTCTTATTAGTCTTCCCTTTTCAATATAAAAAGAACACGCCTCACAGGTACCCAAACAATACAGGATTTTTGAGGCATATACAGTATGATGTATTTGTTATTACTGCATTCAAATCATGATGCAGAGTGCACTTTTCTCCAGACAGCAAGTCACTGAAGCTCCATTTCGAAGTGGCTGCAACAAACCAAACCAGCAGCAATGCTATGATGCTATCAGTGGTGGAATGTAACTGACTACATTTATTCAAGTACTGAACTTTTGTACGATTTTTAGGTATCTGTACTTTACTTGAGTATTTTCATTTTCTGTTACTTTGACTTCAGTACCTTCTAAGAGGCAAACATGGTACTTTTTATTCCACTGCATTTACTTTATAACTTTTGTTAGTAGTTACTTTTCATAACCAGATTAATACAAAAAAGACCTTATTAATCCAGCTACCCAGCAGTAATTCAAATTAAATGCATATAAACTAGCCTCCCCTTTACCAGCTGCAACATTAAATGTGACATACACAATAACTCATCAGTAATTGCATCACAATAATATGATATACAGGAATTTGAAATGTGCCAGTCTGCATAGTAAGTACTTTTACCTCTAGCACTTTATGTTTTGATGCTAATACTTTTGTAGTTTTACTTATATAACATTTAAATGCAGGACTTTTACTTGTAACAGAGTATTGTTACACTGTTGTAGTGCTACTTAAGTAAAGGATCTGAGTACTTCTTCCACCGGGTGCTATGTTAAAATCAAAACTGAGCTTCAGTTACTAGAAGAACCTCTGGACTGTGCTGTGACTCAGCTACCTCCACCTGCAACACAACATTCAATAAACATTAATGTTCACCTTTCGGGCCATGACCAAACCCGAGGGTTTGTGGCAGACCTTGTTGACCACTCCTCCGTTTCCTGCACCCAACTCACATATGGGGTCAAAGTCCTCATCCTTCAGCTCTCCAACCTGAGCTTTCTGGGTGAGAAAGGCTTCCAGTCGTTTCCTCTGTTGTTCATCCAGGTCCAACTCACCAAGTTTCTTTTGTAAGGCCTCCAGGTTGGCTCTGTGAGGAGGACACAGTTGGATTAACAGGGGTTACAAAAAGAATTATCAGGGACATTAACCACTCTATTCACATGGTGGTGTATAAAACTAATGTTAAACAATAAATAGATTTACAAAGAGATCAGATGAAAACAGTCACTCTTTAACACAGGTACTTTTAATTTTGACTCACTCAGAGGCAGCATCAATGGTGTTAGAAGTGGCCTGTCCCTCTCCAATGGGTGTTATGTTCAGGGGAACGGGTCTTCTTTTAGGAGCCATTTAAGTAACTACACTAAACGACTTTTGTCAAATTATGCACTAACCTGCAGTGAGCTGGGCAGCTGCTAACCTAGCTTTTTCCTTATTCGAAACTCAGCCTGAAAAGCAACAGGATAATCTCTATACGGTTGGTAATTTAGATAGCTAACGTTAGCAAAGTTAGTATACTTTTGGTTGCATGTCAGTTAGCTAGTTTGGTAAATGATGACATGTCGAAGTGTGCCTTACAAGCAGAGTTGTTTTCCGGTGCATCTATAGCATGTGGAGTAAACACGTTTCTGTGTTTCTGCTCCTTCTATGTTTCCTACCTGCTGCTACTAGCCATTAGCCACCTAGCTGCTACTAGTTAGCACCAGATCCTGGAAAAATCGTGCCCCGCGTCTCGCGGTCCTAAAGTGCAGCCCTTTGCTTCTCAGCTTTCACAAGACTACAGGCCGCCAAGGTTTAGCTACACTGATAAACCTGTACGGCAGCCTTCCCCACCCGGTACGGCCGCCTCCCCACAAACAAATGTTTCTCTTCGGGGTGTGGGGCTGTGAAGCGAATAGGGCTAGTGTTCAGGCTGGTGGCGCTTCAATACAGGAAGCAGCAGCTGCAGCATCAAACCTATACACCCACAAGGAGAGCCCTTAATAAATAGCGCGATATCGAGACCGTCTGACAAGTTGATACACGAGGAGGTAAAATCTCACGAGGGATGTAGGACACCTGCAGTTTGTGCTAACATCGCCGGTATGCTGGTTGTAATGAAGTAAAAGCCCGGTTTAACCATATCTCAGGCACCCTCTACTTTCTTATTTGTTAATGGCAGTTATTAAACAAGCTGCGAAGTACATTACTGCCACCCAGTGGTATCAAGGGGGTACTGAAGATTTCCAACAAAATCACATTTTATTATTAAACATTAACCTATATTTGTATTTTTCTTTAATTCAGTCATCTGTAGCTCAGAAGTAAAAAAAAAAAAAAAAAAAACTCAAAGTTCAGATTAAAACGTTTTCAGTTATAGTTCAAAATAATGAATTCAACATTCAGTGTAGTGTATCAAAAATTTAAAAGATTTGTAAAGTAGACCTGTCCGTCCCCCTCATAAAATATTGTTTGGGAAATGTCCTGTTTTAATCAAGGTGAAGTGAATTATTTGTTTTGAATTATTCAAAATGCATTAGATTAAAAAAATCCTTCTTTGGTTCATCTGCAGCTTTGTGCAGGCATCTTTAAGTTGATCCAGCTTGACTGGGTGACAGCATGACTGTCTCCTCATTTAATTGTTACCCTATAACACAAACAAAAACTTCAATACACAAAAGGGATTACAATTACACATATTTATATGAAAAGATTATGAGGTAGCCATATTGACCACAGTACAACCAGGGGCCTTTCACATAGGACACTCGCTATCTCTCTCTCTCTCCCAATGCTATGTCTAATAAAGGCAAGCATGGCACAAAATACTTGTGAAAGATTGACATCAGCAAAGATGACAATTGCTGCTGCACACTAGTTTATCCTTTCCACATTTAAAACATCTGTTGGGCATTAACACTGAGTGTAAGGGATTCAATTTCACATAATACTAAAGTTCTCCAAGAGAATAGTTTGCTTCAGCTGAGGTTGATCATTTGAGAACCTCTACAGACATCAACACTTGAAATAAGGTGTGATGCATTTGCACCTCTGTATTCTGTCATTAACAGCAGATAAGCAAGTGGATAATCTGGATAAGTCCAGCCTATTTTCAAAATAAAACAATAGCACTCAGGTGTTTAAGAACTGATTTTAATTAATTCCACACGTCAATAACAGCTGTTAGAATATGATCATTTTAAATTTTACAGTTTTATTCTCAACAGGCATCAAATGTGTCCCCAGATCTAAGCATTTGGTACAGGACAGAACAATCCACACCTTAACCAGTCCTCCCAGTCAGTGGCATCAGCTTCAAGCCCTGCTGCCGTTGACAGCTTCTTAATGTCTGTTTGCCTACAGGAACAACTGGAGGCGATTCAAGGCTTAATAAAATATCATTTAAATTTTATTGTCTTTTAATATGAACATATTAAAAAAAAAAAAAAAAAACACAAAACAAAACATTTACATCATGGATTGTAAGCCTCTGCTCATGCTACCCAATACATTACAAGAAGAGATGCCACTACAGAAAGACCAGACCCTCAGCTCTCTCCAGCTCCCAGACAACCAGCAAACTTCTCTGGCTCAGATCCCCAGAAGCAATCTGCTCCACCTCTTTTCTGTAACCATAAGGCAGAGAGAATGCCCTTCTAAACCTACCCTAGCAACAAATGAAAAATGTAAAAAAAAAAAATTTTTTTTTTATCATTTTATATAGCGGTTACTTACAAACAGCCTAGTTAAAGACAGGTATTACAGCTTTACATTATTTTGCTTCAAAGCGCCTTACACAGAATATCCTTCTCAGGACAGACTCTGATGTATTATAGGCAAAGTGCCATCAATCAATTTTTGTGGACTACCAAACATTTTCAGCACTACATTGATTTTGTAAGCTATGTCAGTGTCAAAAGAGGGGGGAAAATGGAAGACCGGATCCGACTCAAACTCCTTTTTTTTCCACTCATTTGTGGATGCCCTTGCAACAGTGAAGCTCTGAATCAATATGTAAATGTGATTTCTCTGTGCATTAGAGCAAGGCAAAACCAAACAAACAAAAGAAACAGACTGAGTGCTGATCAAACTACAAAAGAGGGAACCAGACCACGACGGACTCATCTGAGTCACTACTTTCTCCTCCAAGTGTCCCACAGTGGACACTGCTGCTTACACAGTTTCTGATTCTGATGCATGAGATGTTTGCGGAGAGCTGGTCGTAACGGTCAGGGGTCACAGATTAATACTACATAATGGCTTTAAAATAAATAAGTCATAAAACAGGATGAAGTGTTAGATGAAAGTGCAAACAGCTCTAGCAACACAAACACTGTCTCATCTTCCCGAACACACTGATGATCTTCCTGCAGACAAATTCAACGCCTGTACATGAAACCCGAACATCCTTATCTGGGAGCAACCGCCACATACTGACAATACTAGTGTAGAGGAATATTAGTTGTAAAACTACAGCATATAGCAATTAAAGTCCATTTCTATTCCAGCAAATAGATATGACCTGACCTTATCTACTTTGTAAGGTGGCTGAGGTGGGATTGCTGGTTAAAGCAGCTCAACTTGTTCCAGGCGGGACAGTCTGTAACTCAGTCAGTGACTTTAAGCTTGATGGGGTTGCACTTCATTAAGTCTCATTGTGTTGGACATGCTGAGCCCACCGCAGCAAAGTACAAAGAATGCTGCTTTAACCCAGGTTGGACTCATTCAGAGGAAAAGAATGTGTTCATCAACATCACAGCCACGAGACTGGACTCACTGTGCCTCAACACCCAAACCACAACAGCAGAGGTGTCCTGCTGTCTGCAACTAATAGCTCCTGTCCTTACAAAACTACAGCCAAATATTATGTTGATTTATTACAAACAACTGTAAAGAGAATGTGAAGCCATTACATGTATAATGCTCTCAGAGAAGGGGGCCAAAATGTGGCAGAAAATGGTGACAGCATTTCTAAATCCTGTTCCTTTCCTCAGTTTTTTATTTTTATTTTTCCTGCTTCTCTGTTCATTTCTCCAATTGGAAAAACGAAAGAAATCAAATGAAATCCAACACCTGTCAGACTGGGGTCTGACGTGTCGGCCAACTCAGGTACCCTTAAAACAACAGGCTTCAATCGTCACCACTTAACAAAAAAGGCACAAAAGTCCTACACCATATGAACCATGAACTACGTCTGCTTTGGCACCACTGCCATACAGCAATCTCCAGGACTTGTGTCCATATGTAATGCTGATTATTTCAACTATAATGAATCCTGTTACAGTATGATACCCATTTTGCACAGTGGCATAGTTCCACCCCATCACTAACACCTACAGCTGGCTTCCTCATACACAAAGATGTTGCTGCTGAAGAGGAAGCAGAGCTACACAGAACGATGGAATAAAATTAAAAAATGAATTTAAAAAATGTAGAAAAACAAAATTCTCCAGTGTAAAATTGGCTTCAGAAAGTCTCATCAATTCTTCTGTCTTCTTTCTAAGCTACTCTCTGGTCAGTCTGCTTTTATGACTGAGGTAGGTTCTTCATCTAAGGACAAAATCAAAATGGAAAGCATCATAAATTGAGGCCAGTATTGAGTTCTGTGTTTTCATAATTAAAAGGATAAATTCATGAGAAAAAAAAAAACTTTCAAGCTTTGAATTCATTCTCTAAACAAAGCACAAAGCTGCAACACAATTAGAGAGGTTCCAATTTGCATTACGCTCCAGTTACCTGTCTTGTCCTCCCCCAAATTACTCATGTTCTTTACTTCCGTTTTTGGCCGTTAACCAAAAACTACATTTTCAACTTGCCTGCTCATCACAAATATGACAAAAATCAGAGATGTTAAAATTGTGTAATTCCAAGTCAAATACAAAGGGAGATGGAGTGGTGGGGAGGGAACTGCCTGGAGAGAGGATGAAGGGTGGTTAGGTGCTCGATCCATTCATCGTCTTTAGGAGAAGCAGGATGGTACAGATATTCATTGCAAGGTGATGGTTGGCCAAATGTTGGGAGCTGCTTCCAGTGGTGTACAGTAGAAAGAGGAATCCTAAGCACTGTAGAGTACAGATTCCTTAACAGTGCATGTTTGAATGTGTTATTGTTTCGTCTGGGTATAAACCAGAGCTGCTAAAGGGCTCTGATGTTTGGACATAAGGGAGGGTTGTGGCATTTAGTGAATTACCATGTTCCTGTCCTCCAGTTTTTAGCCCCCTGCCTCTGTTTGTGTGTGTCAGTCTATGAGGGGACAGAGCTGCGGGGTCAGTAGGCAGTGACCAAGTCTTTGTCGTAGTTGTATCGGCCCCGTTTTGGGGCAGGACTGTCAGCGCTGTCCTCAGTGTCCTCGCTGTCTCCTCCTGCCCCGCCCCCTTCCTCCTCAGAGGAGGAGTCAAGAGTCAGATCTACCACTACGCCTCCTCCCGGTGCCACAGCAGAGCCTCCTGTGACTCCTGCCATCCCAACAGAACCACTTCCAGATTTGCCTGTCAGACTGATGCTGCTGTGGGCAAGAACCTGTTCTAGTGCACAGAAAAAAATGCTCACATTAACAAGAACATGTAAAAGTAACAAGGTTTGGCACTTACATATATCAACAAC